CAAATATGGCATTAACGATTGTTTAAGTCCTTGCGTTACTTTATAAAAGAAATCAAAAGATGAGAATCAATCAATGGATTAAAGGATCTTTGATCTACAAAGATCCGAAATTGCATGATCTTAGTGATCAAATCACACAACCTTTGTGGTAAAATTACACTTCATAAATTAACTCACGGAATAAAGGAAAAACAAGACTATATGTATAGTTTTTGTTGAAATCACGTATGGTATACCCCCCATCCATTTCATGATGACCTATCCACTTCTGTTAGGAGAAAAGAAATATGTCATCCTCATCATTTCATGCCAAAATTTATTGCTATTCGTCTGGCTATAGCTATTAGAATTAATGGTTTTTATTACATCTTTATTATATTCAAAAGAGTACAGGCCCATTGCATACTAGACTACTGTCATACTATACAATGGCTTTCTGAGAATTCATGGATATGTGAATACAATAGTTTTTTATAGGGTTTTTCATAAACTCACTTGTTTTAATTTATTTGTTAACATATTGATTAAACGAATAAGATTAATAAACCTCATTACTGAAAAAAATTGTCAGCTATTGTTATAGCAATTGTTTATAATTTTAATACGTTAAGCTGTTATCAAACGATCCATATTTTAAAATGAATCATAACATATATGTTTTAATTATATGGGTCTATAGGTTTAAATTTAAATCTTCAATTAAACTTATAAAGCATCTCAGGATAATTCCGTGTATCGTTGTCAAATCAGAACCACATCGTAAATGACGCTATGTATTTATATTTTATACATTTTATATTTATTTTTTAAAGCTTAAATATTTAATTATCAGATATTACTAGAACCATAGCGAAATGGAACAGAACCTGGGATGCACTATGCTTAAGCTGTTTCAGATATCCCCTGGTTCTTCCTCCATATTATTCAAATTATTAGTAGACAGTTTTAGAGAAAGTACGGACAGATCCTGTTTTTTTAAATAGAAATTGTTTTTGTAAGGACTAGCGGTAGCCCTCAACCTCTGGAATCAAAAAGTTTTCAAAATAGAATTTAATTTTACATTATTAATTTGTGGATTATTTAATTAAATATGTAACATATATGCAATAAAATGACTTTATATTTAAAGTCTAGGTTATTCATGGAACAATCAATAAATAAGAATTTTTCGGAAAGTTCATTAGTTATATGAAACTCATAACCTTTAAAGGATTATGTTAAAACGTAAGTTATTTTTTTATAAACAGCACATAAAAAATTGTTTTGATTTAGGTAGAAATAATAATTTTTATTTTATAATAATTAATATATGTAAATATTTTTGTTTATATATGGGATATATGAGGCTGCAAAGGTAGAAACACAATTAACACTAGAAGCAACCGATAAAAAACATGCTCTTCTTCTTGCTTGTAAATTTAACTCGTCATAAAAATAAAATTAAAAAATAAATAAAAATTATTTTAAAACAGGTTAAACTCAAAAAAAAAAACCTTAAATTTTAATATTCATTATTTGGGTTAACGTACGCAGCAGACATAATTTAAAGTTCATGCTTGTAACTAACCTTGTACAACTCAGACCTAAATGACCTGCAGCTGAGATGAGAACTGCAGAGAAGAGTCCTGTGAATATTAATGATCACTCTATATTCCGAAAAACCGTTTAAAATCCGCCTTGATGTTTCGAACTTAAATTACGCCGAAAAGTATTCACGAGACTGGCACACGTCCGCTAGGGCTTAGCTTTCGCAATGCACTAAACTTTGTTCGGTAGTAAATTCGAGTTAAGACGCAACTTCACTACGCGTTGTTCAGAGCCGAGGTGTTTCACTTTTTCTCTTCAACTTTCTAGTATTCTTCGCTTCTGCAGACAAGTTTCGATTTCAATTTCGAATTCAAACTCAAACGCAACTTCAACTGAACTACGAAGCACCTGAACCGCACCGGTCTAACGCTTTTGAGTCTTTGTCTGCGACTGAAATTTGAATGAACTTGCAGCTGCGAGTACAACTTGTAGAGCTCGATCAATACACCGAAAAAAAACAATTTCAGATACTAATAACAGTAAAATTATACTAGCAGCTTGTGGAATATAGAAAATGGAAAAAAGTGTCTTTTGCGGTAGTAGAACTTGTGACTATATTGCAAAAAAAAAAATATAAAAAACCTGAAAATTACACCAAATAAATGCTTTCGTTATGTGATTTGTAGATTTCCACTTTCGATGTGTTGGTTTAGTGCTTGTTTTATCACAAAATTACTTAATAAACTAGTAATTCGTACGAGTTCTGGAGCTTATCTACGCCATCGAAAATTAAGGCAATTTGCTAGACGACAATTTCGGCACAACTCGCGAGCTTAACGGCGGATTATAAAGATAAGAAACTGTCGATTTCATTGCGATAAATCACATAGACGCATACATCCATATGCTCTCGCAATTCAGAATTCACCATCACAAATGTATATACTCACAGTCCATCGTTGATCGTCAGTCCCGAAATTGAAATACAAATTAATTTTGTAATTGCATTGTAAAAAAACTTTTTTTTTTTTTGTATTATAAACGAAAGTGAAATTATAAATGCCAAAAAAATACTTTTTAAGAATTTATAACAGCACTTGAGAGCAAACAAGCTTTTTCCTGGGACAGACTTCAGTTGTTTAGGAAATTTGTAAGATAAACGTTTATGATCAGTCGCAACAAATTTGTCCAGTAATTTCAAAGCAGGGAAATAGATAGATAAAGTTATAGGATGTCAACCCACGTCAATTAGATAAGAAGGCTATCTGATTCCGCCATTCCTCATTAGTTAGTGGAGAACGACGGTTTGAGGAAGCTATTTAGAAATCAACCAAATAATATGAAAATACATAAACAATAAATTTTAGATGGTGTGGGGTACATAGAAGAATAGGAACTAGGAAGAACTAAAAAAATCGAATAATAGAAACACTGAAGATGATGTGGAGTACCTAGAACAATCAAAAATAGGAGGAACTAAAGAAAACCAATGAATAAATAATTTGGAAATGAATTGGAGTACATAGAAGAATAGAAACTAGAAGGAACTGAAGAAAACCAACAAATAAATAATTTGGAGATGGTGTGGAGTACATAGAAGAATAGAAACTAGGAGGAACTGAAGAAAATCAAATAATAAAAAAACTAAAGATGGTGTGGAGTACATAAAACAATGAGAACTAGAAGGAACTAAAAAAACCAACTAATAAATAATTTGGAAATGGTGTGAAGAACATAGAAGAATAGAAACTAGGAGGAACTAAAGAAATCCAAATAATAAATAAATTGTAGTTGGTGTTGGTGAAATACATAAAAAATAGTCTGTGTATTCCTTTGAATCTGTATGTAGAGAAGAATGAACTATGGCATAACAGATCTCCAGTTATTATTCCTCGGACATCAATAATATTACTATACTTTTTTTCCATTGACACTACTTTGCTATCAGTGATGTATTGTTTCCTATGTTCTTTGTAACGATGTGTAGGAGATATAATAAACCCAGTAGGTATATATAACCTTGAATAGTTTAATATTTATATAATAAAATTCAATTAATTAAAATAGTATAAAAAATAAATTTTTGTTGTTGTATTTCACTACTGTTCGAAAAAACCTCTTTATGTATATTTGTTTAAAAATATACTAGACTATTCGTTTTTAACCTAAAATAAATAAGTTTTGAAAAGGGTTATTCGTTAACTTATCTGACTATTCGTCACTCAATTACGGGTTATGGCTATATGTTATAATGCCTACATAATTAAGCAAAGGACATTTATGTTGCCATTATTTAAGATGTTTAAAAATTTGATATATGTTGCTTATACGAAATATATTAAATGGAAAGAGTTTATGAAGATACTAATGAACTTTAAATTTTTAGCTGTTAATAAAGTTAAAAAAATAATAATGAAAATCAACTGCGATGTCTTTAATATAATCATTTTGACAACATGTTCGAGTTCTACTCTCTGCGCTGATTACTACTTATGTTGCCTATGCCCTGTGCCATCTAACCCAGCAAATAAATTTGGATATAAGTAATTCATTACTCGCTTGTATAACATATTACCTCTAAAAACTGGAACAATCTTTTTGAAGTTGGACTCAGTTGTAGCTTTGTAATGATAAATGGATGAATTAGTATTCCCTCGTTTGAGAACCTGAAATATAGCCCTGCTGGTGAGTCCACTGAATTGGTATCTAATTATCAATAAGAGCTCTTTATTATAGAACTAATCCTACAACAAACTTTAAAGTTAAATTGTACGCCAAGACCATCAGTCACTACTTAGTCTATTGCAAATAATTTTAACATAGCTTAGTGCTGACCGATCAGTGTCATTTTAAGAAATTCCCTGCCTATGAGGTACCAGATGTGAAATGGTGTACTTTTAAAATGGTCAAATCGACAATTTCTAGCTCACGTCAGTCTTGTGCCCCAAGGCAGATTTTATTAAAAACTACACAAGTTCATACGTAATAGGAGTACTGAATAATAACAACAACTTGAACATCTTACGTTAAACTCCTACTTAAGATTAAACGTTGTCATCTTAACCTACAATACGAGTACAATGTGAAGAAGTTTAATTTGTCTGCGGTGAATAAAGTCTCTACCAAGAAAGTAATAAAAGTCACTTTTTTATTGACTACACGAGCTTGTAATAGAAAATTCTCAACAAGGGACGATTTTCCAATCAACAGAAAAACTGAACGTCTTTCGTTTGATTAGGATCAGTTGATAATACAAAAGATCTGATGTGACTGTGATTCCTGTGCTTGACTTCATTGGAAGGACAGAACATGTTATTTTGTATTCTATTCTAGAATTAATTGCTAGACACATCAGATTATTTATAAACTATTTCATACTTTTTGTATAACATAAAGTAGTCGTAGAATTTTCCATTAACTTACTTTATCAAATATTGAAATATATATTTTTAAGTGGTTTTTTACTTAGACTTTATTGGGAATTGCACTATTCCTACATATTTGATACAAGTACTTTTGATTTTATTAGTAAAATTAAAAAACCTGCAAAATGACTGACACTCGCACCACCATAAGATTTGAATCGGATAAGCCGACAACTGAGACCGAAACAGTGCCTGAAGAACCACCGCCAGTTAAAGGCAAGACAAAGAAGAAGAAACTAACCAAAGCAGAAAAGAAGGCTTTGGCCTTGAAGAGACAAATTGAGTTCAAGAAATTAGAATTACGAGTAAGTGAGAAATTTTCAAAAAGTATGGAAACAGAAAGCTTTTTGATTTCAGCAAAAGGCTATATATATATATTATTTTTATATCTGTTGGATTTCAAACCAAACACTAAATTTTTTCCTTAGCAAACATTCAGACGTGAGCTTGATCTGTCCAAGCATGCTGTAGCAGTAGGTCGTGATGATTGGGAGGAGTTGTGTAAGGAGATAAAAATAGCAGAATTAAGAATTGAATTAGAGGTAAGACGATAGTTTTACTAAACCCAAAATTTATTTGTTAACTTAAAATGAGCGAATTCAAAGGAATGGGAGACAAAAGCTCAGCGTCTAATGGACCAAAAGGATGAAATGATTTCTATGCTAATCGAAGATATAGAGACGACACATGAAATGCACACACGTGGCGTTTCAAAGCACAATCAGTTGTTGAATTTTCTAGCAGGTGTGAAAAACTTCTAATAAAACATTATTTATAAAGATTTTTCTAACATTTTTACAATCAGAGAGCTATCATTTCTTGCTTGAATCGGTAAAAGTACATCATGAATGCGAAAAGCAGGACTTACTGCGGGACTATTACGAGGATGCAGCTAGGGCAGAATCAGCAAAAGAATACCAAAAACTTTATTACGAACGCATCGAGCATGCGGTTAATATCATTGTTGAGGAGGAAATGCGTCTATCGTATCAGATATATAAAGAAGAGCGAGACGAACGTGTTAATAATGAAATTACTAAACGTTATATGCACCGCGACACAGTCGTGGATAAAATGAAACAGCTCCACAGAGCTGTTTACAACTTCTGTATGTCATTGAAGACTAACACACTCGACATACATAAATACGAAAAGATTGACTACCTCATGGATCGACAACACAATTTCTTTAAGGAAACCGCATCGCTTAATACTCGCGAGAAGAAATGCACCCAACAATACGTAGACCTCCAACGACTACTTATGCAGCTTGAGATTGAGTCACAGCGCAAACTGAACGATTTGCGCTTAGAGCATGCCTATTTTCTCAACGAACGAAAGGCCATTAAATATAAAATGAAAATCGATACTGATATAACATTTGAGAAGCTCAGAATTCTGGGCGCTACAAGCTACGATGTCATACGGGTAGGTTAAGTTCTGCTGGAGACTTAAGAAATTTTGTTTCGTACTAAATCTTGTCTAAATTTTGCTATTTATGATTTACAGAGATACAGAGATTTGAAGAAGAAAGGTGATCTGCTGTTGTCATTGGCTGCTATGTGCCGACAATACGAAACACAATCCGAGAAAATTGTGCCCTGGCAGGAAGCAGAAAGACCAATTGGTTATAGAGAGCAGGAACAGGAAATATTTAGGCTTCAAACTTTAGATCTAAAAATGCATGTGGACTTGACTGAGGCTGTAAGTTCCTGTGGAAATTTTAATTTCATTTAATTATATCTTTGATATATCATCTTTTCTTTATAAGAATATTTCAGTTCCTTTTTTTTAATATATTGATATTACTTTTTCGAAAACTTTGCTCGAAATTGCTCTTGAAGAACAACACTGAGTACTTCTCCAAAGTTTAAACTAACAAAAACAGGGTTCAAAGTACTTTACGATTACAAGATCTATTACCACTTATTAGCACCAGAAGTAATACTCTTGAATTATGTCAGTTTTTACACTATTCTCTCATGAGATATTTTGTCAAGTCTCAGTAATCGCACTTAAATACAATATATTGCAATATAGTATTTTCTAAATTTATAGTCTGTGTGAGGAATACTTTATAAGTTGTATCCTCTAATTAATATGTACTCCCCATTACAACAAGCAAATCTATAAATCATGATATAAGTAAACGCGTGCTATATTTGCCCTTATAAAGACACACATCACGCGTATTAAATTCCTATTTATTTCTTAGGATCTATTAGAGCAATTCAAAATTTTGAAAAATTTCTGGCGTCGTCAGTCACTGGTGGAATTGCAGAACTTATTGTTAACCGATGAAAAGAATCGATTACTGGAAGAGAACAAAAAATACTGTGATTTTATAAAAGCAATGAATAAGACAGAAGATGAAAATGAGCTTCTGAAAGCACTTACAGTAACAAATGTACTTCCAGCACCAGGACTGCCTTGTCGTAATTTTTTTTGGAGAGGAAGAAGAAAGAAATAAATTATTGTTTATTGTAAATGTTGTTTATTTTGTTTGTAATAAATTAAAATTTCTAATGTGACTGAACAAGCTGGATACATTTTTCTTGATTCTATGCCTTCGGATCATAATTGAGGATATCAAACGATAGTATTTTGTAAAATGAAACAGACCAGTCATCTTTTCTCGTTTCATGTTGTGTTAGTGCCGTTTCAGTGTAGTCTCTACGAAATCGCATAAATATTTCAGCGAAAACGATGCGATGGGGTACGCTTTGTATGTCTTGTGGAGTGTGCATGTCAGCATCCAATTTGCGCAACACTTCCTTAACCTCAACCACTTCTTCAGCAGAGCCAAAATCCTTCGTATTGCGAAGACCCACAAACAACATGTCAATGAAACAGAACTTATGACCTAAAATTAAAATTTGTAGCAAAATTTAATCCACAGTTAAAAAGAGCAAAAGGCAAATTTTAAGTTAAGGATTGCTAGCAGTTAATTATCATTTCACACATATAACATTATATATATAATAATTCAAAGCAAATACATAGATAATCAGGTTCCATTGCAAATTTCCCCGTATTATTATATACATAATATACACATCTTATTTTTTTTTAAGAACTCACCAAAATTTTTACGCGTTGAGACTTTCATAGGTATCGCTTTGCGTAGGTGCTCCGGACTGAATTTAATCAATTTCAGTCGAGTGTCATTACGGGAGAGCAACATGTCACGTGTTATTTGTTGAAACCCAATTGGTGTGGTAAACTGACCTATTCTGCTCGTCTGCTGGTCTCGTATAATGTCTGTAATGACAATCGCTGCCTAAAAATAAAATACAGTAGTTATTAAAACCGAGAAGTTTAAATCTATTTTTTTATATAGGAATATAATCAAAGTTGAGTAATATCCAAAAAATTTTCTAATGGGCATTTAAATGATTTTATATTGTATGTGACTTAACATTTTGCATTTGCCAATATCGTATTATTACCTCTATGCTGTACAGCGACCAGATACAGTATATTGAACATTTTAAGTTGGTTCATGTATAAGATAATTACTTTTTAAAAGAGCGCTATTATATTTAGTAAATATCGTAAATCGTGACAAGGATTGAATATACAATATAATAACTTCTTTAATATAGTTTTTAAACAACGATATATTCTCTATAGAAAAAGTTACTGCTCTAACCAAAAAGATTTGCATTCAACAATAATCAGAAGAAAACTTTTGCATTACTTACGAAGAAGATTATTACGTTCTTTGCTTGTGTTACGGTCTTTGCAAGATTTTGTTTCTAAAATATATATATCGTAATACTACGATCTTTGTCACGAAATATTGCGGTCTTGAACACCGCATAACTTACTAAAAGCATAGGCGAAGACCGTAATGTTACTGTCAAAGGTTATTCATGAAGCTAAGCAATTTTGCTATTTTAAGTTACTTCTTGAGAAATATGCGACCCGTAGTCAATTAAGCTTATCTTCTATAATCATTAGTTTAGAAAAATGACAATGGAGCACTTTAGTCTATAATTTATATTATAAAATCTTTAGTGAAATTATATTATTTTAAGAGCAGTTATCAATATAACTAAACAGAGTGTATGTAATCTTTAATATATCTCTTCATACCTATTGCTTCCGGTTTCCAGACAAGTTTCGAATTAATGACGACCAGAGTTATATTATAAAAACAGTTATGTTATTTTTATTATCAATTTATGCAATCTGCAGATGTTAACATCTATGAATCTCATGAGATCTCTCTAGAAGAAGGTAGACAACTTCTATAGAAGTCTTCTATAAAACTACTGATTAGTCTGAGTTCTGATCGAATTAGACTAAAAAACTTATTGTTGATGTTGTTGGCAAGATTATACTATTTGAAATGCTTTTATTCTCTAACATCAACCAATAGCTTTTCAAATATTTTAATCAGTACTTATACTAACGAGATATAACGAATAAATATTACAAAAACCAGACTTCTATGAATAGTTTATGTCTATTCCTATTACAAACCTGTCAGCTGGACCAAAACAATTGATTAATTCTGTTCACCACTCACTTTACAAGATACTTACAGTATCTAACAATACTGTATACGAACTTTACTAAAGGGGCTGCTTTTTCAATGGAAAAATATCAGTCATTCATTTTGTCATTGTCTGGTGCATACTGGGAGGCGTATATTCACCAAATCACCTGTACATGCATTAAAGACACTGCCCGTTTTGTTGAAAAGAATCAATGGCTTCCCGATCCAAAATAATACCTCTTAAGGTAATTATTTTGTCTTATTACTATAGAATTATGAAGTCAGTTCTCTTGGCAATCTCTGGGGAACCGTAACTTTTTTCTACCACTATTTAATATTTGAAAAAACATAAAACATTAATAAAATGCCAATCAATACAATAACAATAAAGCAAATTTTCAAGTACCTGTTTGGAACCCTCAATAAATTCCTGCTCCACAAAATCACGATCCCAGAACAAGCGTAACTTCCACAAGTTGAACTTCGTTAGCAAGTACTTCCACGGATTGTGAAGATAAACTAATTTCGGTATAACTTTTCTTCTTTGATCGTTGAGGTCCATTTGACTCTTCCAATTATGCATCGGACGTACGAAGTTGAACTGTAATGAAGGACCCTGTAACAAATTGAAATTCTGTTCCGAAAAATGCCGAAAAACGAAAGCATTGTGATGATTTTGAATTTTGCAAAGTGAATTTAGAGAATTTAGTGAGTTATATCCGGCTATGTTGACGAGTTTCCTATACATTATAGTGTTTTTAGAAATTTTGAACCTCACATTTAATTTATAGAAGAGATCTAAAAAGACATTTTTGATCCCCTAAAGATGTCAAACCAGTAACGTATAGTACGGAAAAAAATATATGTTTAATTGAATATGAAATCAATTTAAAAAGTTAAAAAAATTTTTTTTTTTTGAAATTTGACACTTGCTTTGCCTGCTATGATTTTTATTATATATATTTGGTATTAAAAAAAATTATAATAAATACACTACCGAGTGTAAAGTATGTCTGAAGCAATTTGCCTGCTTCGTTGCTGTCTTGTCAACTCCGTTTTGAGCTGTAGTGCTTGTATGCAGCACCTTCTGCCTTTACCGCTAACTCTGCTGCTGCTAAGTGCCATTTAAAGTTCTTGCTCCTGCTTTCATTTAGCCGCTCGTAAAGCTCTGCACAGTGCATAACTTATCCAAAGTGGTTACATTAATTCCCAAACTACATATTGTGAGAAATGTCCATTAAAGAAAACACAAGAAGAGATAAATTAAGAAACAAAATACTTAAAAGAAGCACAAAAAAGGTTTATATTAGGAATATGACTGATCAGCACAGACTTGTGTACACTTAGCAGTTAACATCGGTTCCTATACATATAAGATTGAAGCATGGAAATTTTTCTTTTATATTATATATTATATTATATATGTTAAGTATATAAAGAACAATTGCAAAAATAAAAAACCTCTACGAGTTAGTCAAAAGTAACTAAAGGTCTTAACAGAGTTTTATAACGCTTATATATTCAGAGTACTGGACGATAAAACCGAACATAGATATATTATATTATATAGATATGTCCGTTAGACTCTGAAGTTCCAGGATTATTTTTTACTAAAAACTTATATCCTTAATCAATATGTGAATACTAAATGAGATTAGAGTTAGCTCTCTTGTTTCATTGTTTTGTTAGAATAGTTCCAGGAATACATTTCAGGTTAAAAGGATTCCAAAATTATTTTTTCACCTACTAATGATAATACCTTTTAAACTCAATGGATAACGTTGAACCTACTACTTACCACTACTGACGTTAATCGTACTTGTCCACACCCTGTAGCCTCCTACAGGTAGCTCGACGAGTAGGTTGCTGCCACCAGTTGATAGTACAAAGTGTTCTAATATCGTTGATCTCGTGGGTCTTCTACCGATAATGCGGGCGTCCTCTACCGCGTTTTTTACCAGCGGATACCAAATCAAACAACCTTCAACAAATCAAACAATATTCGGCACCAACGCGTAGGGGTCAAGCTCCGTTAGAATTAGGAAGAACCATCCTAATTCTAACTCTAATACGAAACAGAGCTATTCTTTGTCGTGTGTTTTCTTTAATCTAATATTGAAAACGATAATCTGAGTAGCATATTTAACCTGTACTAGTACAATGTTTTACAAAAGTGTCGTTTGTTACCTAAGAAAGAGATACAAACCCTAAACAACGGAAGCACTTAAAGTTCAAATCAGGATCTTTGCCAAAAGTTAGCAAAGATATTTGTAGATTACGGATTCTAAAGGTTTTTCACAGAAAGAGCTATCCGAACTCTTCACATCTCTACGTCTCAAGTATATTCAGAAATGGAAATGCACTTTCAACAGAGTATGTAGTAGTAAAGAATTACCAAACCAATAAAAAAAATCTGTAAATTGAAAAAATTGTAAACAAATTCTACACATGTGCATGCGCAACCAGTTCGGGAAGCTCCCGGTTGGCTACAAGTGGTGCTGCACCGCCGATGCCTGGCTATTTTAGTTCTTGGCTTTCGGTTCTGCTGCTTTAATAAGTGTAAAATGAGTGAAACTGGAAATTCGCTAAGCTGCAAAAACTTGCCGTTCCCTTCATGCGCACCAACGAGCTTTGAACACTCGCATCACTGCAGCCGAGAGTCCGTCCAGTTCGTCGGCTTCTTGGCTAAACGACTTTGCTGGCACAGAAATGTTGCACGTTCATGCATCTTTTTTGGTCTTTGTCTTTGTATTTATTTTTTTTTGGATTTTTTTTTTTTATTATTTTTCTTTCTGTTTTTATCTTCAGTTTTGCCTTTGAGGCAATAAAATCTTTCTGCTTTTCGTCTTCATTGTCAAAGCCTTTGATTTCGACTTCGTCAGCTTAAGCGTCCGCGCGCAAAATCTTTTGCAATTCCTTGGTCGGTTTTTTCAGTTTTTCAGTTTTTCTACTTTGTCTACTTATTTTTTTGTTTTTTTTTTTT